CAGCTCATCTAACGCGCCGCCAGGGGGCCTTGGATCCCGCAGAGCCATCTGGAGCCGCATAGGGTCCATTTGGCTCCGCGGGCGAGCCAAAATAAGCTCACCACCTAAACAGGGTCGGGGTGGGACATTCAGACGGGCCTTCAGGACATGGTGGTCCGACCATGGCACTGCCGAGACAGTGATCCGGTCCACCACAACTCCTGCTGCAAAGATCAGATCGAGCATGTGACCGGCCCGATGCGTGGGGGCCGAGATGGACTGGGAGAGTCCCAGTGCCGCCATGGACGACACTAGGTCCATAGCCCGGCTGGAGGTCGCATCCTCAGCATGGACGTTGAAGTCCCCCAAGACTAACAGTCTAGGGTGCTCCAACGCCCAGCCAGATACGGCCTCCAGCAGGGATGGCAGGCTACTGGCCGGAGCGTTAGGTGGTCGGTACACCAGCCAAATAGCCAAACTCTCCTCAGCCTCCAGCAGCAAGCCGACACATTCGATGCCCGCGATCTCCACCTGCGGGAGCGCCCTGAAGGAGTAAGCCTCCCGAATGAAAAACGCCACTCCTCCCCCCCGCCCCCTGGACCGAGAACCCCGGTGGGGCAAGTTGGGCGAGCGCAACCATCTCGCCATCCCGTACCCAGGTCTCGGTCACGCACGCCAGGTCCGCTTGTTGTTCCTGTATGAAGTCCCGACCTGGCGTTGCACAGCATCAATGCCGGAGGGGGGTTTCTAATCCTGGCCCCACTGCCAGTCACCCTCGGGATGGGTCGCAGGCTGGAAGGACACCGAGCCGCTCTGTTTCTCCGTGTCCTTCCCACTATCTTCCGCCGTGACCCACCGCCATACTTCCCTCTCCCCAAGAGCACTGGAATTGGTCGCCCCAGCATTGTAGCTAGCAGGCTCCGCAGAACTTCAGACCGCCAGCTAATAACGCTAATAACGTTATCAGCCATGTCCTGGCGTCCTGGGGGGGGAAGGTGTTTGCAAAATTCGACCTTGCCCAAGCCTACCAACAGCTGCCTGTGACCAGAGGCGGCTGAAGCACAAACCATCGTCACCCACAGGGGAGCTTTCCGGGTAAACCGGCTTCAGTTCGGTGTGAATGTTGCCCCGGGTATATTCCAGGGATTGATGGAAGGGTTGCTTAGGGGGGTTCCTGGAACTGTCCCCTACTTTGATGATGTGCTAATTGGTGGGGGGTCCGATGAGGAGTTCATGCGCAGGGTCAGAGAAGTCCTGAAATGCTTCTCAGAAGCTGGCCTCAAAGTAAAACAATCAAAATGTATTGTTGGTGTCCCCAGTGTGGAATTCTTGGGGTTTAGAGTTGATGAGCATGGTGTCCACCCCACGGATACCAAGGTGGAGGCAATTAAGAATGCCCCACGACCCCAGAACAAGAAGGAGCTCCAGGCATTCTATCATGCCTTCCTCCCCCACAAGGCATCGGTAGCGGCCCCGTTGCATGCCGTACTGCACAAAGATGCAAAATGGTGGTGGAACACAGAACAAGAACGGGCGTTCGAAGGGGTCAAAGCATTACTGGTTTCAAATGCAGTGTTAACGCACTATGACGACCAAAAGATGTTGGTGTTGGCTGCAGACACGTCTCCGTTTGGGGTGGGGGCAGTGCTCAGTCATGTAATGCCAAATGGGGAGGAAGCCCCCGTTGCGTATTATTCTCGATCCCTGTCAAGTGCGGAAAAGAATTACGCGCAAATCGACAAGGAAGGACTAGCGCTTGTCTCTGCCGTGAAGAAATTTCACGAATTTTTGTATGGACGCAGATTCCTGCTTGTAACGGATCACAAGCCCTTGTTGGGAATATTTGCCCCGGACCGGCAACTTCCCAACATCATGTCAGCCCGCATGCTGAGGTGGGCT